CCCCCGACTGAGCCTGGTTTCTCCCAAGGTTTTTTCTCCATTCTGTCACCGATGGGAGTTTTGGTTCCTTGCTGGAGTTTTGGTTCCTCTGGCTTGCTTAGTTGGGGACACTTAATATCCAGTGATATCGTTGACTTGGTTGCACAGATACTATTTAAACTGAACTGAGCTGGATGATGAAATCACTGAATTCAACGATGAACTGCCTTTAACTGAAAATTGAGTGTTTAATATTATCATTTTGCATTATTGACACACTATTTTCCTATTTGGTACTGTAAAGCTGCTTTGACACAATCTGTATTGTTAAGCGCTATATAAATAAAGGTCCTTACAAGTCCCAAATAATGTACTATAGACTACACTGTAAAAAATCAAAAGTTGAGAAAACTTAAAAGTTTAAGGCAACCAGCTTCAGGAGATTTTTGAGTTTTCTCATCTTGTTTTTGTAGGAAATTTTAGTTTTCTTAACTTTTTGTTGTATAAACTGAATATTACCATAAGTTGAGAAAACTCAAAAATGTCCCGAAGCTGGTTGCCTTAAACTTTTAAGTAGGGCTGGGCGATATAGCTAAAAAAATTTATCGACGATATAATGTTTCATATCGTTCGGATAATTATTGACATTTTTATAACCTTTTTTAAAACAAAAAGCAATAGAAATTTTTTTTTTAAATGTAACCACTGTATTTATAATTAAAACAATTTATTGAGACAAACAACAAATATTTTTTTTTTAACAATCAAACACAATAAAAATTAAACAAATATGTAATTTCTAATGTTTTATATGCAGATTAAATAGGTCTTTATTGTATAGGTCTAATTGTCTCCCGAGGCCACAGGAGGGCGCAATTATTTTAAATTCGACTAATATTCATTCTTTATTCACAATGTCCTCATCACAGGCAGGCACAGAACTCATTTCAGCATGTGAGGGGTGTAGGATGCAACGATGCCATTTTTTCAGATCCGATCCAGAAAATTCTGAGCATCGGCTGATTCCGATCCGATACCAGCGCAGTTTTTTTTTTTTTTAATCAATGTAGAATTTCTATACTTCTGTGTGTTGACCTGATCTTCGCTCTTTTGTGTGTTAAACACAATCTGCTGTTTTGAAACAGCCTCTGTGTCGGCAGTGTGAGAGTCATGTGACACTCATTGAACTTTTGTGACTCGTGCTATTAGGCAAATGACCCGATTTTGGGACCAAGAGGAGAACTAGACTGTTTTGAGCTGTGAAAATGCGATTGAGACGGTGAAACAAAACCAATCTGCATTTGTTGTACGATCATATTCACAGAGATCTCACACATTTGAACGGTGTGTGTGTGTGTAATGTTTTTGATTATTGTTGTCCATTATCAGACTATAGATATGTTTACATTAGATCTGGGTTGACAATATTGATTTCTCAATTTTTTTTTTATTGATTCTCATTTTGATTCTGAAATCCCAAGAATCTATATTTTAGTCCAGAGATGACCAAATGCCATATCACAAGACAAAAACTTTTCTAATTTAAAAAAATATATTTTTTGTTTTATTTTTGCATTGTAAAATGTAAAAAACAATTTGAAGTTAATTTTTTTAAATAATTTAAAAAAAAATAAAAAAAAAAGAATATTTTTGTTTAATGATTTAATAATTAAATTTTTTTATTATTAAATAAATTATTTTAGAATTAAAAAATTATTTTTAATTATTTTTAAAAAATTGCATACATTTTAATATAATGTAGGTAGATGTAATGTAGCGTTTAATTTTGGCCCACAGCCCTCAACCAAGTTTAATTTTTGTCCCTTTGTATTAAAAATTTGGTCTTTTTTTATTCTGTGCCATTTCTCAGTTGATGCATGGACAAAAACAAAACATTATTTGTAGTGCTATATTGTATGTTTGAATAAATCTGTCTTGAAATAATTTTTTTATGACAGCCACAGTTTAAATGTTAAATGTTGAAACATAATTATGTCAGTAAAAGTTCATATAAAGACTTCCATATGTGCGATTTAAATATTTGTATAAAACTAATTGTCTGATTGTTGTTTATTGTTATAGGCCTATCTGAAAAATAAATAGCAATTAAGTTTAATTTTAATCTTTAATATTATACCATTATTATATGTACTGACAGGGTTCGCTGTATAGTTTACAGCTTTAGATCAAATTTTTTTCTGTTGATCGGATAATTTTTTTAGGTCTACAAAACCCCTTTC